GTAATGAATGTAACACAAAATCAGGAATGGAGTTGTTAATTTTACCCAGTGTTTCCGCTGCTCGGCTACGTCAACAACAATTTTAAAGTCTGTTTTGAATTCTCTCATTCTTAATCCCGGAAACTGATTCATGTCTGACACACGCTGGAAAAAATAAAAATAAAAGAAGCATTCACGAGTAAATACATTCGCGACAGCACAAAAGGTGAAATTCCCATTTAAATTGTTGTCTCAAACAAATTGGTTTGGCACTGATAAATTTAATTGGCAGGAGTATTTTTTTTTTACGGGGAAGATTGCTTTCTTTCCATTTTCTGGATGTTGGGCCAGATTAAAAGCTGTCACCGAGGGAAACTCCATTCTCATCAGTGACTTGTAATTTATGACCTCGTCCATGCAATTCACTAACGTGAATTTGTTTCGGGCTGAAAATAGTGAGGAAAATACAGCACTCAGTTCGGGGACAAACGTGGGTGTAAAACCAACAGACAGACCAGCCTAATTGAACCTTTCACGGTCTCACTTTGTCCCTCGTAAAAAGCTTCGTTTCGTCGCTCTTGTACTCGTGACAATTTTTCACACCTGCCCAGAGTCATTTCTATCTCTCATCTTTTTTACTTCTCTTTTCAATTTTTTTTTACTCTCCACGAGTTTGCGAAAATTGGTTTTCAAAGGCCAGAAATGCAAGTGAAAAATTACAGGTTTCAATTTTCTTTGGATTACAACTCCACCTTCATAACTATTTCATAGAATCATAAGTTTTTCATTTGATTCCCAAAATCTGTCTTATGAATTCACTTATTCCCAGCCATTCAGAAATATTCGAGTGAAATATTCATTAAATATTCAAGAATTGATGGTGTAGCAGCGAAATGAAAAGCAAATGAACGTCATGTAAATTTATGAAACGTCGTTAAAGATTTTAAGAGTTATTTCCAACCGGTGCAGTAATTCCTTGATTCCAGAAATTCCCGATTGGAACTTTCACCCCAAAATAATTGAATCGTCCGAAAAAAAAATGAGACATATTTATTCCCTCGTGAATTACTGCAAAAGGTCGAAGATTTCTTTAATGACATCATATCATATTGAGGTGACAGGTGCATTGATACGCGTCCCACCGTAAATAGCGAAACTTTGGAAAATAAGGGGTAAAAATATGAGGGAGGGATTACGACGGTACCCCGAGAAAGAGGGTAATCGATGAATAACACCCCCAGTTAAGGAGAGATGAAAGATGTATAAAATCTGGAATTCTCGTGTGTCCCGGTTTAAACCGTAACGACTATAACCATTGGAGCGAATCCCAAGACCCTTCCACGACAGTGGCATCCTGCCATTTCACGTTTTCTCTTTCGTTTCCATGTCGTAGTTATTCCTCCAATATCCATAGGCATCGGCCATTTTTTTAACCCCCTAAACGTTCGACTTTGTGAACTGCTGTTCGTACAGTACGGCGCCAAATTTTATATCAGCCGAGTGTACGTTGAAATTTCCCATTTTTCCAAGTCTAGTAAAATGTAGATCGGAATGAATGAGAACGGATATAAGCTGTCCATCAAACTCTAGGGCTGAGGTTTTCCGTGGTAGCGCGGAAATGAGGGTTTCAGGTGAGATGGGAGGATTTTGATTTTGTTGCGTGAGGGAGAATGATTGATTTCTGGATAGCCAGAGTCTTATAAAATTATTGGAGTGTATTTATCTTCGGATAAATCGTGTATTACTGGTGCAGTTGATGATGCCGGGATGGAAAGGGTGTGATAAAAAATAGTGATAATAATTGGATGAAGGGTGGCGACTGGATGAGATGAGGCGATTTCACTTGTACTGAAGTATATTATTCTGACTGTCCGAGAACGTAGAGAACCGCGATGACCGCACGGTTGGAGATAACGGGGATAGTGAATGGCCGATCGATTTCACAAACTCATCGATCCCTTCAATATCGTGGAATGAAACGAGGGTGATGCACTGACAGCGGCAAAACTTATCGCTTGTACCCGGCAACAGCAGATATTGCAAAGACTGTCGATGGCACACGCATCGGTGTCTCGTCACGCGGAAACAACGACAAAGCAATTTACGACTAGTACTGGAAGAGGATCCCTCAGAGCAAACCCTGTACATGTGAAAGGAATTGTGACAGTGTGATGGAGGAGTTCGTACTTGCACACGACATTGTTCACGACTGAAGGAGAAACTGGGAAAAGGAAGTGCCCATTGGTGTTGGTGTACCCTGTCGTAAGGTTTTACGTCCTGGTGATCACAGTGGCGATAGGGGAATTCGAATGCTAGTGCCTTCTTGTCTCAAACACACGGGAAAATCACATCACCATGATTTTATAACGGTCCAAGGCGTTATCGATGACTCACTTTAACTGCATCTCGTACAATTACGCAAAATCGAGGAGAATTATTGAGAATTATTACTCTCATCAATTTTATGGACTTTTTTTATTTTCTCAACCTTCAACTTGACACTCTAAAGTATATCCAAAGACACCTAAATGGCCTTCGTACTCACGAGACGATTAAAAGTTGCGAGATCTGCTTGTTAGGAAAGGACAAATTTAACGAGAAACTGACGGTTAAAAAAAAAATGAGTTTTGATAGCGATGAGAGTTTTCTCGGTGGATGAAGTAACTGGATGAGAAATGTATAACTTGGGGGATGAACAGGAGAGTATTCCACCCATCATTTTAATCCATCGGAAACTCTGATGAGTTAGGAAAGTTCTGAATTTACCCATTAATCCGAAATAATTGAGACAAATAGTTAATGGACTGACCTGAAATTGTCTGTTTATCCGAATGAAATGAAATTCGTTGGATCGGATGGGGTCGGTGGGTGGATAAATACCACCCCCTTGGAAATATGAGATTTTTTGATCCCTGGGTATGACATAACTCTCGTCGATAAATTATTCATCGAATAAGCTCACTCAACAATTCTCGAGACCGTTTCTACCGTGCAATCGAATCACTCCATTCAGATATTTCTTCTGTGAAGTCTTTTGAATAGGGTAAATAGGTTCATTGGGGTATTGTGAGGACGGGGAGAGTATCACCCCTCGGAGGGTAGCATCAAAGCGCTATTATTTCTTTCCGTCAACTTCGTAAACGTCGTCTATAGTTCTGGGTGAATAACACGTACATTTGCCCCAGGTAAACCCTCATGAAACGACTCGAGTACCACTTGACGTGAAAGCTGTAAATACTTTTATCGGCTCTGTGTGGATTTCAATTTTTGTTTATTCCACTGGTGCTTCGACACTCGAGGGCATTCGCTGGTGTTCTACGAGACCCTGGGAACAAGGTTAATGGGAGCATTATTCTCGAGTAGTTCAGCTTGAATCGCAGTGATTGAAATAAAAACATAAGTATATTTATATATTTATTTTACGGAAAGAGCGTTTCACCAACTGGAAAATATCGTTGGAGTGACATCTTCCTAACGATGCCATTTATACTCGACTGCACCTGTAAATTCCTTATCGCAAGCTACGATTTGTTAACTCCCTTTCATATCTACCTTATTATCGCTCCAAGTCCGATTAAGGGATGAGATTGTACGGTACTCGAAAATTTTCCCAAGTGCCAGTATTAATGTTGAAAAATTATTTCGGTGGGATTTTTCTACGTACAATAATGAAAAAGAAATTCGTCATATCGCGTTGGTAAAATCTTGACGATGCGATTTTCGTGACAGCTCATCCGGTGGGGGGAGGAAGAGGAGTAGGAGGAGGAGGAGAAGGAGGAGGAGGAGGAGAAGAAGAAGGAGGAGGAGGAGGAGGAGGGGAGCAAGAGGTGGGGGAGAAGGAGGTGGGGGAGAAGGAGGAGGGGGAAAAAAAGAGAAAGGTGGAAATCCCGGAGAATTGCAGTAGGTAACGAGAGGCAGTGGAAGTCGATGGTAGAAAATGGAGGAGCGCTAGACGTCGAAGGATAGGATATGGCGAGGTGTCGACAGGATCCCGTGAGGATCACCGGAGCTCGTGAGAGCCTGGTTTCCCCTTCTGGTTTGTACCATGATAAAACGAGAAAAAAAGTACGTATGGATGGTCGTTATCCGAATCTATATGTTTGACGTTTTTTTCTCACCGTCTTCATCCAGGCAATGCCTAGTGTCTCCAGAGGTGGAAGCCACCTCTTTTATCACATCCTACCACCCAACTTAATGTCTTTCTGCGTCTGTTGGACTTTGGCGATATAAAAGTCATGATATCCCAAAGTTTTACCCGGAATTTTCAAGGGACTGTTTAAAACTCATTCGGCAATTCACAATGTTTTGTGTACTCACTTGGTTCAAGTGCTTTTTCGCACTCGTGATGCAGATGGAATGCCGGAGATCCATCGAGACGACAGGGATTTTACACTTTGAGAGTGTCATGATAGAGGAAAAAAAAAGTGTGTCTTTTTCTTTATCTCGGAGGAAAAGCCCGGGTCACCGGGGTCTTGGGTCCCTCTGGTTCATTTGAATATTTATCAGATTCCCGGAGTCTTTCCACTGCGGCCTCTGCTCCATTGTTATCTCGCTGTCAAGACTCGTACTTCTCGAATCCGCTCATCTCGAAACTTCTCAATTCGAATTATTTCTGGGGAACAAGGGGTTGAGGTTTATTGGAAACTACTTACGCCTTTTTTTATTATTATTATTCTCACCGAGTTGCGGTGAACTTCTCGAGAGACACTCGGCATTTGCATTCAATACGTGATTAAGAATATTTCAATATGTCGAGGATTTTCCGTCTGCTTCGTTATTGGTTGAATTGAAAATTTATCGAATTCCATCTCGACCTAAAAATCCCCAGTCACTCTTCAAATGACACTTGAAAAATATTTAAAGAATCGAATGAATTCTAAACACACGGCACCTAAAATAAAAATGTCAGTTCGCCGCGTGTCCCACGTTGAGGCGCTCGAGTGCGGCTTTTAAATATAGATTTCAAATATTCCGTAAGTTCTACCTCAGTCTTCGCTGTATTCGCGCGAGACATACGCCTTGGTGACAAAAATCGTGAGAAAAAGCCTCAAAAGTCATTTCAATTGCGTAGAGGGGAAAGAAAAGGAAGCGGTTAAATGTGATATCCACAACTTTAGACGACGCAATGTGTTACACATTAGTGAGGGCCTTTTGTGACGAGATTGAGGCTCATTACGCTGGTTTTTAAAGCACATCTTTTTGTGCTAAGCCGGAAGGAGGTGTATTATAACACGGTGAAAGAGACTAAACGAGGAGAAGAACGTTCATGTCGGTGAGATAGTTTGTGGGATGGGTGGATCCTTAAGGGAACTCTTTAATGTGCCGGTTAATCGATAAAGTCGGGGCTAGACCATTATCCAGCAGAGACAGGGCCAAGTTAGTAGTAATAAAGACTGATACCGCGAGGCATCAGTGTGGAACGGAAAAAGCTTTGCGTTAAACGCCTCTACTTTGCTGGGTGACATTTATTCCATTATTTCAGGAGTGAGACATCGATTAATTCGAGTTATTTCCTATTTTCTCGGCTAATAGTGCGTGAGTCATGGGGTCATTGCCCTGTGAACGCGAGTTTTGTGACTTTTGTCGCTAATTCGCATCTGCGCATGCGTACAGGAAGATTTGACACTTGGCAGGCGATATACGAATAATCCCAATTTTGGAGAGAGCCAATTAAGTGAAATGAAAAAAATTTTCACTCACTACTGATGCTTCGCGATTCTTGCAATGACACTTAATGAAGAATTATATTTACTTGTTTCACCACTTCGCTTTTACTCGACTGTTTTCTGTCGATTCCACGCCCTAGAATTCTCATTTCCTCTTCAAATACAACTACCAACTCGGAAAACAGAGGGCTGTCACCCAGTACGATGAAAACAAACGACTCGAAGGGGTTTAATTGGACTTTGCACCATTCGCTCATTCCAAGTGAAGATTTTTCCTGTTATTCCTTATCGCTAAGGTCCTCTCTCCTTTTTCTCCTCATTGACTCCTTTTATCGTCGAGTATACAAAGTGAAACGCATGAAGACGCCACAAAATGCCCAAGGATCAGATCGGCCTAGGCCCTGTCACCCACTTCACCATCCGTTTGTTCACTCATGATCTGATTAAACCGTTTTATTGAGACAAAAAGGCCGATGTATTCATCATCAAAACGCGAATTCTCACACGACGTACGTGGCAGCTTCCAGTAGTTGGTATGGAGTACCATCAAATTTAATACAATTTATGCAAACTGAAGTTTAGATCTTAGAAGTGGATGCTGTCATATCGTGAGCCTCTTTTCCTACCGCATCTACCGTATTTCCCAGACACTTGTGGTCGACACCGTGTGGAATTCTCCATCTACCTTCCACCAAGGCCCTTTAACCATATACGGCCCCTTGTTTAACCACCAGCACTTTATACCTGTATCCTCGCAATCTATGTATAACCGAGGCAAAACGCAACGCCCGTAACTCATCAACTTGGCAAGTTCACGCGTGCTCCAGAATCTAATCTGTCGGCTTTCAAAGGCTCCAAGGGACGGCTCTCGCCCCTTGTTCCAGACACATATGCATGTTTGAGATAGAGGGAGTTTACAAACACGCGTTCTTCGGTTATTTTATGGGGTTCGAGGAGATGAGCGAAATATTCCCGGGGTAAAAACTGTTTTAATTATCCATGGGGCTAGTCTCTCATTTTTCCACGCCGAGGGAAAAATTTTATTTAATCAAATCTCGTGGAGATTAAATACCTCATATTTTTATGTGATTTAATTATCATTTTTCTTTTTGAGGTGGGGATATTTTCATGGAGAAATTCTGTTTGTTCGTGTGGGGTAGGGCTTCGCAGTTTCTGTCTTCCACTTGGACCTCTCAACCTGGTGCGTTCACCCTTGTTTTCGCGATTGCGCTAAGAATAACTAGTCAGTCTTTGAGCCAGAAACTACCGAAGAAAACACTTTGGGTCATTATATCAACGATACTCAAAACATTGACGCATTTAGTTTGTTTAGGGATTAAACGGTATTTAATACGCGGAAGGTGTGTGGAAAGTATTTATCGCGGATTTTCTTGAAATTACTCCAATCTTTTTGATAAGCCCAGTCTCACCGGACTCTACTAATTTGGTGTATTATTATTTCAATAGTGATATCGTATGCACAAATTTTGGTGATGAGACAGTGACAGTGCTGTTATGAATAAAAAAAACAGTGACATGAGCAGTGAAATGAGTAAATTTGTGGACAAATGGAAACAGTGAATTAATTGAAAATGTTTCGATGGGAAGTGCTCGGGGTGTTGTTGCTATCGTGCACACAGATATTGACTGAACATCGTGAATATTATGTACCATTCAACCAATATGGACATCAGAGGCACAGCCAAAATTGGGATGGAGGGAGAATGGTTAAAGAGGTTCGAGTTAAACAAGGAAGAATCAGAGGATACGTCGTGGAACCCAGTGCTAATCCCCAACAGCTGGTGGACGTATTTCTCGGTAAATACCACGTAAATAACTCCGCGAAATTTTCACCGTCATGTATTTTTCCCCCGAATTACCATCAATTTTTTATTAATTAATCCACGAATTTTACGGCTATACAATTGAAATTCATTTGACAGATATGAAAGCGAATAAAAACCGATAATACCGTCAACTGAAAATTTAATTTCTATACAAGGTATTTTAGATATGTCGACAGCACAGTTGAATCCAAAATACAAAAATAAATCGATGGGAATTCATTTCTGGCAATTCGCCATCACAAATTTCACTCAATTATTTTTAGTCCCCCACTAAATCCCATCGCGGGTAAAAGATTTCTCAGCGTGAATGCACGTGACAGTCGTGTATCCCCATAAGAAAACACAGAAGGGTCTCCATCTAAAAAAACGATGAGTTTCGCGGTTGCTGCGCGGCTGTGATTCTATTTTCAGTGTGCATTTGCCCCCCACCCCCCTCCCCCCC